CGGGGGGAGGGGGGCCCCCGCGAGGCCAGCGCCCGCCGCCCCGGCCCCCCCGCCGTTTCGCAATGGGGAGAGAAAGCGCCTCACGGCCATGGCGGCCTATATTTATATATATAATATATATATGTATATATATTATTTGGGGTATAATAACAGATTAAGGCGTTCAGATGGGAGCTGGGGCCGGACTGGAGACTTCAGGCACCTTTCCCATGAAGAAGCGGCCCAGAGGCCTGCCTGGGGCATCCTCCCAGCTGCTTCTTCCTGGCACTGGTTGCGATTCCCTCATTTGGGAATTTCCTCATCATTCCTGGGCTCGTTTTCCCTTAGCAGTTGCAGACTTGAGGTGGTGTCCATGACAGAGGGAGAGAGGGTGCTGCGGAGTTCGTGGGGAGATCCCATGATACATGCAAAGCAACTGAGAGGTGTCTAATAAAAAATTTAATTCTTGAGGATGTGGAGTCTCATTCCCAAAAGAACCCGAGCTTTAAAGAGCCAAAGGCTTGGTAAAAAAATAATAAAATCTGTATTTAGTTCCTGAAGTAATTTTTGAAAATGAAGGTTTGGTTTCTATACCCCTTGAGCAAAGTTAGGCATTGCAGGAGGTCAGCGCGAAGAGCTGACCCATTTCATCCTCCCCTCACACAAGTTCTGGGGGTGGCTGGATGCTTTCCTAAGCTGACTCAACTCGCTAACCTGAAGAGAAAAAAAAAATGTTGATTTTGCTGGTTTAGCCGTTCGAACTCACCCCGTGCGGGGTCTGATGGGTTGAAAGCTGGTGCAAGGCACGGAGGAAGGGGCCTTGACTGGAGTCTGAACAAAGAAGGAAGGGAATGGCTAGGACTGCTCACGCTGTAAAGCGTAATTGCACCCCCAGGCACCTTTAAAATGTTTGCTCTTAAGAGTTTAAGTTCAGGAGATGTAGGCTATAAGTCACTTAAATGCTTCGGAAAATCATTCTTAATATTTTAACATGGAAATCTTCCTCAGAACCATCTTCCTCCCAGGCTCTCATTTCTTTATAGTGCTTAAATTCATGCAAAAGTCATCCTAAATCATTATTAGGAAGATAAAATGAAAACACTCACTCTAATTCACCAAGAATATCCTACTTCGAAACATTTATTTCCACTCTCTTTCTATTTGGGGAGCTGGGGAGAAATTAGGACTTCACATTTCTTACAATTAATATCCTGTTTCACTCTGAGTTCTCATCACTCAGCATATATCACTTCACAGTTCCTGTTTGCATCTCTAGTTTTTGTAACGTTCACAGATTTGGCCTCAAATTTACACCTGCAAAAATAAAATAAACATCACGTAGCAAACGCACACAATGGTTACATAGAGGGCTGGAATGGTTCCTTGGGTTTAGGGCAGTTTGGGTCAGAGAGGAAAAGGCTGAGGTAGCCGAGTGCTCTGTGTCAGGGCCGAGATTTAAGGTTTAATGATTTTCATTGCCTTTCACTTGGGCAATAAATTGCACCCCTGGAGAGAGGGGGTAAAACACTACTTTTCTAATTAAGGAGAATGTTATCCACAGGCCTCAAGACAGAGCAATACCTTCTTGTGAAAAAACAATGATGATTTAGGGCACACAGAATGTCACGTACCCATTTGGGTTTAACCACTAAAGCTACTCCTAGAGAGAAAAAAAATCTTAGGATTTTTAGTGGACACAAGTATCCAAATGTCAGCGTTGTATTTCAGCCTAAAATGGCTCCACAGGCTTTGGATCTCGTTACCAAAGGTTTGGGTCTGCAAAGCGCTGGTTCCGCAGAAGCTGGCTCCGCCAAATACTGAAGGCTGCAGAAAGCACCTGGGCAGGGGACTACAGAAACGGGGGTAGGGCCCTTCCAGGGAGCTCTGCGCACCTTCCCCACGCAGCTCCCGCCATCTAGTTCATAAAAGCCCGGGTACCGATGTCACAGGGCCACGTGGAGGGTTGCAGGAGAAGACTCATCTTCTGTCACAGGGCTCCAAGGTCAAGCACTGTTGCGAGGCAGAGTGATCCCTGAAGCATCTCGTAACTTTTTTGCTAATCGCTAGGATGGGCAATTGCTCGGTATCTATTGCTACTTCCCTGCAGTTATAAAGTAAACACTGCACCTACAGGTCCGTTTTCAGGGTGATGCAAGAGGCATTTAGCCATGCGACTCCCATTAATGTTAATTATAGAGCACATATTAACAGCATTATACGATCCTTTTTCCTATAAGCACTATCATAAATCTGATTGGTGGGGCTTAGTTAGATCTCAGCAGCAGAATGCAATAGTTTGGTACACGAAAGGGCAACTTTATGGAGACAGCAAACTATTATTATACTTTAATCTCCAAATCTCTCCTTCTCTTACTCATAACACCAACAAGGCTGCTTGTAAGATTGATTTGTTGTCAGAAAATGATTTAAAGACCGACTGTAAAAATACTATATTTTCCTTGCTTCATAGAATGCGGCATTGATGTTAGAGCTCCACAGAGACTCGATGTACTTTCAGATAGGGAACTCTAAAAGCCAAGTGCAAAATAAATAAGATGGCATCCTGCTGTTATTGTGGTAACCTTTACAGATCATTTCAGAACTGTGACTGTTGTGTAGTTTAATAATATGCCATGGGGGAAGCCGGGCCTTAGTGCAAGTCTACCCCGGTCAGCTGATGCCCAACTGTATTTGCTTTTTGGGGGCCCAGTATGTACCAGAAGAAATGGTGTCCAAAGTGAAGGGCACTAGGACATATCAGAAACACAGAAATAACAGATAAGAAGAACTAAGAAAGAATTAAAGGCCAAGCCAGACTGTAATGATAGAAAGCTGGTTGACTGCTTAAGGCATCTAGATTGAGCAAAAGATCTCTGCCGAACATCCCTGCCGAGATCTCCTTGAGTCAGGACTTGTCCCAGCTTCAGCGTTTGAGAAACTCCAGTGATCCTGATGACCCGTTAAGTAGTTTCTTGAGGCACTTGCAGTGGCGTGGGTTTGGGGGTTTCTGTGATTTTCTACAAACCAGCATTTGTGATGCACAAGCTTTATATCAATGCAAGATTGAAGCATAGACATAGTTTGGTCTTAAACAAAGAAACCCCACAATCAGGAGCAAAATCTACTGGTACCAACTGAAAGCCTGAAACATGCCAATTCCATGCTATTAAAGACTTGCCCTCAGCAAAAACCTCCATGTGGAATGTAAAAAAAGGTAAAAAAACGCACACCAAAAAAAACCCCACACCAAAACCTCCAAGTGGAATGTAAAAAAAGGTAAAAAAACCACACACCAAAAACCTCAAACCCTTCCCACCATCCCAATTCCAGTGTTTCAGAGTAGTTAAAGCTTCCAAGTACAAGTGAAATAGTAGTTCTGGTAGATCAGGTCTCAGTAGCCTTTCTGAAGTAGTGTGCCAGACTGATTTCGTTCCCAAAGTAGAGTTCAAACATACCGTAGGAAATCAGCAGAAGCTAGAAACTGCTGCCTCTTCCCAGCTGTCAAAGGTGGCCTTGTGCTGACCCTGTGCTATGCCATTTTTTGGCAAGCGCTGTGTTGCTTGCTCACCACCTGCAATGGCCTATGAGCTATAATAGCTTCCTTCAAGTAAAAAATGTCCAGCCTTTCCTTAGGTAGAGCTTTGCCGAGTGTCTGGTGTAAATTCAGCTGGGATCAGATTGGGAGTTGACGTCAAATCTGGTGCGAACATGTAGGCAATGGGAAGTAAACAGCAAGATGACTGGGGATGAACCATACTGAGGGCAGCGTGAGGGGAATCGCCCCTAATAATAATAATTCTATGAATAAAAAAAATGGCAAGACCTGCCTTAAGGCAGCAGCAGCTAGCCACGCAGATTCACAAAGGAGCTACATAACCCACTGCAATCCCCCATCACATCAGCCATCCCTTGTTAACTCACCCTGACATTGCTGTTTCTGACAAGTAGTGATACCTCTTATCCCTTAAAGTTCTCAGCCAGAGTCAACAACAG